AACTGATAAAAATCATATCCTGATCATTGTTTTCAACAAGATTTTTACAATTTACAATAATAATAATTTTTTAGTAATACTTTTTTTAATCAGAAATTTAAGTTTTTTGTTTAATCTCTAAGATATATTCTGAGTCCGGAATAGTAGGTGGAGAATATTGTTGTCAACTACTAGTATTAGCAACAGAACATCTTTATTTCCGAAAATCATAGGAAATTTCGGTTGAAATATATATATATATATATATATGTTTTATATATATATATATATATATATATATATATATATATATATATGCTATGTGTATATGTTTTATTCTTAATATTATATTCCTGATTAATATTAAAATCGTTTTAATTTTGCACGCGGTAATTGTAGTCAGATAGTTTTTATTTTTATATTTTATATAAAGTATAAAGTATATATATATATATATATATATATATATATATATATATATATATATATATATTTGTTTATTTAGAAATATTATATTCTGTCACAATCAAGGACATTTATAATAGTGTTCAGAGAGCACACTCACACTCTATTTACAATAAATAAAATAAATAATACAGAAATTAATAATAATTTCAAATAAAACGCAATAAGTGATATACACAATGATACTGAACATTTTAGTTGTCATAAAACATATTACTCCCAATGCTTTGAGTTAATATGAAGGAGACATATTCCCTTATGGTACGCTCACATGTATGACAAAAATTTGTCAAAAGTAACGGTTACACGTTTAAGCCAATACGGATTATTGAACATTTTAAACAATTTTTTTTTATCCGTAGCTATACCATTAGGCTGTAAGGTTTGGGGACGTTTTAAAACGTCCTTGAAATGTTTGGTCGACCACAGTGTAGTGAGTGTTCAGAGATTTCGCATTGCTTTTTATTTATTGACGTTACGAAATATTTTTGCAGAATATTTCGAAACTATGCCCAGACAACAGACCACACGGTCTTTTATTGCTTTCGAAAATCTAAATGGTGTAATATATGTGTTTGCGTATTTCTAGAATGTAGAAAAATATCTTTTCCTTTTTCAGTGGGAGAATGGAGCAAATTAAAAAAAAATGCGTTGGTTAGTTGGTTTGGTAAGATTTTAAAATTATATTATATTGTTGAAGTAAACTATAATATTATGGTCGGAATTGGCAGAAAATACAGATATTAGCACAGGGATAGATATTTTGTTCAAGTAGATGAAATGGGAAATATCATAAATTTATTTAAAGAGGATTCCGAAATTAAAAATGTCTCAACATAATTTTTTGTATAATTTGGTATATATTATATTCATAATAAAAATTATAAACATTTTATACAATAAATTAAAAAAAAATGGTCAAAATAGAGAAAAGTCTCTACTCCTAGAGAAGTATATCCTCGTATGTATTAAATATTGATAATTTATTTGTCTTTGTACATTCCTTTTAATTTTTAATATGGATATATATTTTATATTAATTTTCATAGAGCCATAGTCGGTATCTTTGTTGAGCCATATTTGTTGTGTATATTATAAGACTTTATTTCTTTATTATTTTACTTTCTTTATTTAGTCATTAATCACCTGCCTTGCATTTTTACTAATATAGAATAAACATTTCAATATATTTGTTTCAATCCTTGTCTTTTGTTATAGAATACTATTATTCTTAAATTCATTTTGTTTTACTATACAATTATGTTTATTTAATTAAACATTGTTTCAATAACAGAAGCGTTTATTTTATTTTTTCGTGGTTAATATTACTTGCTTTTCTTTTCTATATTATTTTATTTAAGTAGTCAACCAATATTTTGTTACAAGTTTCCTTATCTGCTTTTTATTTGTTTATTTTTTGTGACTAAGTACATACTTAGGTATGTATTTTAGTAGTATGTAACCCCTTTCCACAGATCTGCATTATTTAAACATTCCTTCGTTGTCCGTTCCACTGCATTCTGGAATTCCATCCCACTAAAAATCCACCATCATCCTTATCCACCTTTAAAACCCTCTTATTCCAATTCCTCTTCACAATCCAATCAGACGCTGGTTAAATCCATACTATGTTATAAAGCTTTAATTTTCTTTAAACATTACTTTTTTTCTCTTATTTTTTATTGTTTTATTCTGTGTTGAACGTGAATTTTCATCACCACTCACTAAGCATTGTGAGTAGATAAAATTTGTTTTTCTTAATTTCTAATTTTTTTATTCATGAAATTGTATTTCGTTGAAATGTATTTTATTTTCTAATTATCTTCAACACACTCCTCGCTATGTGTATATATATGTATACTTTATTTTATTTTTTCTTCTCCTAATCTTTACGCATAATCACTTAAATATCTTAGGGAACATATGTATATCATTTTTTTTTTTTTTTTTTACAATTTCTTTCCTTACATATTAACAGTTATTATTATTTTTTTAATTTTTATATTCCATCACTACAATGCTTTGCCTATAAAATTGATTTTGCGTTCCTTTCTAATTTCATTCAGTGATTATTATGCTATTGTTTTAGCTCCAATATTGTAGTACTGAACCCCTATTACCCAACTGTTCTCGTTAATTTATCCTAAGAGCTTAATTAATACTTAATTTATTACTAGTATTTTGTTATTATTCATTGTAATAAGTCTTTTGGCCAGATTTATGGTTAATTTATGTGAACAATACTGTTATTCTAAAGGGACCCAGAATAAAGATGATTTTTCTATTTCTATTTCATTATGTAACCAGTCTTATGGCCAGAATTAGTTTTTATTTTTTTTTGTACGCCATTATTATTCTCAAAGTACTTACAGAATAAAGTTTCTTTTCATTTAAACTTAGGTGAATCTTAAAATATAACTAAGTGTGATTTTGTGAGAAAACGTTTTTACTTCTCATCAGACTTCCTCCACCGACGAGAAAGTGATAAACGAAACAATGTCAATAAGAGATTTGTATGACGGAGAAAGGTTAAATACTTTGAGCTTTAAATTAATAAGTAAAAATTAGATTACAGCACGCAAGGTCTAATTTTTTTTTATAAGAGAGTCAGAGATCATTTAGAGAAAGTATTTTGCTCTACTTCAGCTATTAATGTATTAATGTTGCTGTGGTTACAGCAGCCAAACTCAACGCAGCTACATTGTTAAGCGCTTATCACCTTCCAGGATCGTGGGAAAATTCCGAGTCTGTTTATAATATAATGTTCCCTAGTACTATGTAACACATCTTTTCATCGTGGTTCCTTCAACCTCATTATAAATCCTGTTACAATACATTTTAAACATTAATTAATTATTGAGAGTGAAAAAAAAAAAAACGCAGAGACAAAAACTATTATTGGGCTGTTATTAGAATTTCTGAAAAAAACAGTCCCTTAAACAGCAGGTAATAGGTTGCCAAAATCCACAGAGTGCAAGACCAAGACCAAGGCCGCCTAACTGTTGCAAGACCAAGACCAGGACAGGTTTTTAAAGAAAAATTAAGGCAAAATAATTACTAATACTCGACAATCTTAGTTACTATATGTCAGTAATCGGTATAAACAATATATTTTTGCATTTAAGTACTCTAATTTTTCTTTCGGGCTTAGTTAGGTTTCTCCAAAAAAAAAAAAAAAAATTACAGTAAGATCTCTTTAGTAATAAGCTAATAAGTAACTGTAAGACTGTTGCGAGACTCTTGCGCAATACCAAGACCATGACCAAGACTGAGTTTGCAAGACCAAGACTCTTCTCGAAGTATGTCGGTCTCGTATTTGGGCAACACTACTAAAATCCAAAAAGACGTCCAGAAAAACTTTTTTTTTTTGCATAAATTTCTTTAAAATGTTATTTAGAGTCACCGTACAAGATCTTAGCTTTCAATAATGCATTTAAACCTTTTTATTCGTATTTTAATAAACGGGACATATGCCAGCCAGTAATAACCATAGCCAGGCTTTTTAAGCAGTAAAAATCTGCAGAATGTGCCATATATTATACAATAAAAAAACAAAAAATATGCAATGAAATATGATGTATTTTGTATAATATGATTTCAAATAATTACAACGATGATCAAATTCACAGAATTCGTAAATGCTATTTTTTTATTTATATTATTTTATAGATTTTATTCATCCTTTCTTTTTTTTTTTTTTTTTAACTGCGATCACAAAACAAAACATTATTGTTTCCTCAAAAAGTTTTATTGTTTTTTAAAAATTAAAGTTATTGAAAATAAACTTTTGCGTAGAATAATTGAATAGAAGTAAGATAATTCAACTTGAAAACTCTAAAGCTAGACAATGCGGAATGGAGTCAACTCATACGGATTCAACAAGTTTTTGTTTTTTCGTAAAGTTAATAATTTTGTCCTTGAATGTAATCAAGAAGGCACTGAGAAACTCGCTTCAACACTGATAAGAGAAGTAGAGCAGATCGGCCTACAAGTAAATGAAGACAAAACTAAATATACGATAATAAGCCGAAAATTCTACCTCAATAACAGGATCTGCTTAGAAGGAAAATCATTCCCGAGAATAGCAAAATTTAAATACCTCGGCTCCACAATAACCTCAATGAATGGCCAACGGGAAGAAATAGACCAGCGTATAACTAGCGCAAACAGAGCTTTCTTCTCCCTCTCAAAGGTATTGAAATCCTGAAAAATCTCAAACTAAGGGTGTAAAATGCTATGATAAAGCCAGTTATAATACATGGCTGTGAGACGTGGACATTAAACTAGTCAATCAATATCCCATGATATGAAGGCACGTAAATTACATGGTCTGTAATGCCACAGAAAAAAAAAGAAAAAAGAAATTTCTTTATTTAAAATTATATCGAAACGACTTCCATCATAGATAATGTAAGCTATCCCGACGTTTTTTCAGTGAAATCTTACATTCACCAGATATAATTATTACGACCAGTCCATAATCACATATTCCGCTCACTAACTAGAAGCAATCAACAAACAGTTTAATGTTCAAGTGAAAATATTTGTTGGGTTACCTCAGGCATTCCTTCCTGACAGTTGTACCTCGTAACTGATCCGTCTAAAAAAAAACAAACAGAAAAATAAATCGTTTTGGTAATTGTAATTTTTACAATAATCGTGCCAGTTGTATGTACAGCAGTGCATTCGAATGTATTTACAGGTATTTACAAGCGTTAACATCCGTTAGATGTAACACAGATGAGGAAAATGTGGATGGAGTCAACTTTTAAAAGTGGAGTTCTCTTTAGAACGCAATGTATTCAAATCCATTAAATCTAAATCTTAGGTTATTATCAATTGAGTAATTACCTGGAACATTATGTACAGGAGCTTCCTTGATCTATATTTGTAAGTGACCAACTAAGTGTTTCCAATTCCAATATATACGTTTCAAATAAAGAAACCTGATGATTTCTTCAATTATTTTCATAAAAATGTAAATATTGAGATAGGAAATATTAATTTGGCCATTTATAAATACGGAATTATTAATAAATATATCCCATCTCAAGAAAAAAATAAATTAAAACTTTGCAATAATTTATTGTAGTCGTTTTTGATGATTTTAGGAGTCTGGATATCAAAACACCTTATTTTTTTAAATAACTTGAGGTGAATCTCAACCTATTTCCTAATAAACCTTAACTTAATTAGTTTGGACTTAATGCTCATATAAGTAGGATCATATCCGCCCAATAATCGTTTTTTAATGGTTTTAACTATATCTAGCACTCCTTTCATTTGACGTAAATTTTATCTAGTTTACAATGAATCAATTATTATTACTTACTTTTTTTTTTTTAATTTATGATATTTACAACTATATTACAAATAAAAATATATTCAGTAAATGTGAACACAAGAATATAATAACATGAAACCACTTGTTGAGAAACTACCCACTGGTAGCACTCTAAAAATATATTTACAAAAGGAGAACTCGAGGCCATCTTCTTTTCAGACGCCCCGGAGGTTTGTCAGGGATCGAAGAGGAAGCAAGATAAGACACGAGAGAGTTTGGGTGGTTCTGAAGTTAATTATGGAAGGATAGGTATCTGGATTGGGCCAGTTCAGAAACATAAGGAACATTAAGGTTGTTATGCATGGTTTTATTTGTGAAAAAGTGAGCAGTGAGGATTCTACGGGGGATTTTGGATTGTAAGGATTGGATACGAGTGGAATTCGATGGCTTAGTGGAGCCCTATAGCTCAACTCCCTAAGTCCAAATAGGTCTCATTGTATTCATGTATATGAGTCTTTTGTAATTAACTGGAAGCTTACAGCGTTTGTCTAGTAAGCAGTAGTCGGAAATGTCGAGCGGTTTACAATTACAGCGGATTACTGCCAAATGTATTTGTCAAATTTCTCGTCCTCTAATCAAAGATTAGAGGAAAATCAATATATTGTTTTTTCTATTATTAATGTATAACTTGTATTTTGTTGTTGTTTTATTTGTTATTTGTATATTGTCTACCATTGATTAACTCACCTAATAGATCTATGATCAATTATTATAGATATCAACTAATTTGAGAAAGGTTTTATTATTACTATAGGCTGACGTTTCGCCTCATTTATTTAGTCGTTAAGATTAAAATAAGTAAGGGATAACGATCAGAGTGATGTATCTAAAAAAAAAAAAATAAAAAGAAACGGCAAAAAAAAAATACAAAAAATGTTAAAAGTAACATGTAAAACGATAAAAATAAATAATTACAAGAATGGAAAGATCAGGGGAAGTAAATATATAATTATGCATATAAGAGTGAAAACTGAAGCATTATATAAACCGTAAAGTGGATGATATAAGTACATATATATTAAAACTAATCCTCGCTTTATGTAATAATTATTACTAATAAATATAATTACCTAAGATATAAAAAATATAATAATTGCTATAATTAAGCTTCGAGATTAGGAATTATTTAAATTCGAATAACAAATATTATCAATATGTTTTTTTAAATTTTAGTTTGTAATAAAATATAATGACTATAATCTTCGGAGGTGTACATTTGATTCTCCATCAGCTCATTATGCGGGAAGCGCCTACAGATATCAAAGGCGCCTACTAGAATCAAAATAATTTTTTTAAAGTTTTGTCAAGATAAATCGAACTGTCTTTAGTCCACTGATAGAAACAATTTTTTTGTGTGCTTTTAGTCTTCTGTCTAAAAACAAGCCTAAGTACCGTGCTGTGTCTGAGAATGGAAGCGGTATAGAGTTAAAAAATATTGTCGGAGAGGATTCGCGTCGGAGTATGAAAGTGATATGCTTGCATTTTGGCTAGTTTCAGTTAATACGCCAATTATTACTTGAAGCATAAGTTCATACCGACTTCGAACTAAGGGGATCGGATAAGCTCTGATTCATGAGGATAAATGAGTAGCTTCTTGCATTATAATGTATTTCTATAGTCTGAAAAACAAGGTTGATTCTACTTCGCTTCTCAACAAGCTAATCTATAGAGAACTGACTCTTGGATTAAGTCATAAAATTAGATTTTAGGAGTCTCTTTTTATAAAAGTTAGAGATTACTAGTATCTCTATATAAAATTTACATCTCATCACTAAGCAGCAACTACCAAATTGTCAAGACTGCAATAGCCCTTTCACTATCAATCATATTTTACAGGAATGCCCTTATTAAACCTCAAGCTTAAATATATTATCTCTAAAATCGGATATATCAGTAGTATTAAACAATAATGAATCAAACATAAAAATAGTAATAAATTTTCTTACAATCCATAGGCTATCAAACAAAATATAAAAATAAATTCTCTCTTTTCTAAAGAGGTTATTAACTCAACAGATAAGAAAAATAACCGACTCACAGACGTTGATAACCCTAGAGTTTTACGGCTTAAAGCCTAAACAAACGAACAAGTATAAATATTGTTACAAACTGCTAACAGAGTCCGACTACTACATCACTTACTTGAAAAAAGCTCTAAACTTCCAATATTCAACAAAAAACTCATATGCACTTCCATTATCAGGGCCATTTGGACATATGGAATAGAGCTTTGGGCTCCACAAAACCATCAAATTCTTCTCGTATCCAATCCTTACAATCCACAATCCTCCTTATTATGTCACAAATAAAATTATTCATAAATACCTCAACATTCCCTTTGTTGAAGACTAAGATACTCATCTTTTAATTCAAAACTCCTTGGTTACCCTAACCCTCTAGTTCATAACCTATCATCCAAAACAATTCCTGACAACCCTCCGTGGCATCTGAAAGATGGCCAAGAGAACTTCTAAATTAATTTAATTTTTGAAAGTGCTACCAATGGGTAGTTTATTTACAAGTTTTTATCATGCTTTATTTATCATTTTAGCAGATTTACATATTATATATGTATACAGTTGTAAATATAAATAAAAAAAAATTAAAAATATTGTTCAAATATTATATATGACGGAATATTTATGTTTGATATTTACATTTTTACAAATGCGAACCGAATAGAATTAAAAAAAAAAAAAACACATGCATAAAGATAGGGTGCCCAGGACATGCTTGAGGAACGGTCCATTGAAAGTTCACAAATAACTTTTTTTTCTGTATTTAGGTTACGTAACATGTTATGAATAACCATGGACAATGCGGCAAAAATGTCTGCCGATAGCTTAGCTGGGCTACTAATGTGATTACATTTAAACACGTTCGTCGCCACATCACCCTATGTCTTGTTAACTTATTGGTGACCTGGCGGTATAGTAACAAACTGATATGTAGAACAAATTAATTTCTGTACTATATATTTTTTACTTTTACAAATACAACACTCCATTCGATTCATCCGTGCGACGTACTCGGCACCCGTTTTGTAAATTCTAAATAGCACTAATTTGGTATTTTCGTATTTGGTGCTAAAAATACGGATACGATTGTTCGATTGTGGTTCGTCAATTGTCCAAAATGTGTAATACAATGTAAAGCTGATTTTGATGGTTTATATCATAAATTTTATATGACCTACAACCATGTATTGTTGGAATTTTTTTTTTTTTTAACCTTAGCTTATTTATACATCGGTTAATTTACGGTACATTGATATATGATTAGGCAGTAGAAACATTGTTGGTTGAGTTTTAAATGTATATCAACAAGTAATCTAGCACATTCAAGTAAGCTAGGTAGGAGTCAAACCTGACCTACTTTTGGCTTCAGCTCGTCAAATTAAGTTTAAGAATCAAATGTTGAATGTCAAGTATTTAGCTTTTTATTTATTTATTTTTCCTCACCTTTTCGGCTACAAGAGGTTTTCCCGGGCCAGGAGAGAGTGTGGGAGTTTAATACTCTCCGGCACAGGAATGGATGCGAATTAGCATTTATTTTATTATGTTATCTATTTATATTTATTTGGTTGCTGGGCAAAACGTGTTTTCTACACGCATTAGCCCGCTCGGCCGCCCCGTTCTCTCTTCCTCTCCCGAAAGCAATAATTTTTTTTATGTATAATAATATATTTTCTGGAACACTACTTCAAAGGATAGATGAAGCGCTTTTTTTTTAATATTTTTTTTTGTCAATGGAACTCGGTTCACAACGCTCATAGCTCTTGACACTAATTCAAATATCATGAAACAGTTTATTGAGTACAGATTAGTATGTAAGAACTACATATTTAATCAGTATTTAGCCAGGATTTCAATACGACTGATCATTATCTTAAGCGGCATCATAGACTTTAGAGTTTTTAATTCTCATTTTTTTTTTTTTTTTATTCCATGAGCATAATTTTTCGACAACATTAAGTTCTGAAGCTAGTAGAAACCAAACAAGATATTCAATCATATGATTCATGTACATTCTTAATATCACTTGAACAACTGACTCGACGTGATTAGATCATACCGGTCTTCGAAAAGCTGGCAAACCGTGGTCGGTATCATGGATTACTCATCACGGTAATTTTCATAAGATGACTCAATTAGTGCAAAATGGCGCAAAAAAAAAAAATGCAATTTCCTCTTGACTGAGGACGACTACCAATGCTACAGGAACTAGGCAATCTTGCCAGTTCTGCCAATAACGGA